TATGCGTAAAACTAAAATTGCAGTGGTTATAGTAAATGTCGCGTTGTGAATACACAGACACAAAATATCTAAATGTAAAGAATAAATGATTTGATATTAAAGTTACAACCGATATAGCCAAGTCCGTATATTTCACTGTGACAAATCAGAATATTGGCAAAACATAACTTTTCGACCATATACAAAAAAAAGTAAAAACTATTTTCAGATGTAAATTTACCAGTTATTCTTTAATAAAGGTTCATTCCCGCTTTTAAATATGTCTATTAATCAGAACAAAAATGTGTCCAAATGGAGCTGTGCCACAGACTGAATGGGAAGGCAAAATAATTTACTTGGAGGCGCGACTTTGGACAATGCCTACATGTGGTTGTGTCCGACTGACACCAACATACTGTGTTGTATTGTCATAAAAATATACAAATGGCCATACAGCATTTCCAACGACATATTTCCCACATACTAGTAGAGAGAAACAATTTTGCGCAGTAACTTAGTCATTCTCAAAATGATTTTGCATTTGCAGTTAGTTTTACGATCCACAATTTCACTCAGTGCGCTCACGACTAAAAGCATTTCAGGAACATACCACTATTTCAATACACAGACTATTGTATCCATCACGGTTAGTTTTCAGGGAGTTGGGTGGGTTGGAGTGGGGTTGAAACAACTCTTCATTTATTAATCAGTGACGAATATTTCGGGAAGAGGAAGGTAAATCAGTAAAAAATAAAGCAGAGGAGTTTTCCCCCCGCAAACAAACGTGTACTACATGAGTCCTTGCATTTTAGCGCGTGTTGTTATCGTCGCGTGGGACTCAATTCCCGCGCGTGCGTAGTGACGACCCCTCCGCTTTAACGTTAGATATTCGATTTAAATGGCGGTAGTCGCCGCGCCGCGATACTTTCGATACCTGCGAAACACCAAAACAAAATATTTAATTAAAGCTTGGTTTGTACTAGTTGGTGTGCGCTACAGTCAAAATCGCCATCTTTGTTTATATGAGACCTATATCTCGCGCATGCGCGGCGCGACGACTACCGCCCTTTAGTATCAGAAACTAGACTAACCTCTTGGCAGCAACTGTCCAGTACTTCAATTGACATTGACACGTCATTGTGTGGCACTAAATGTTTGTAGTAACGATCTGGAATAAAAAAGAAAGACATTAATTAAATGACATGGATGGTCTCGGTTAAATTCTCTAAACCAATAAAGCAATTAGACTGGACTTATTTGATCCATTGGATCAACCACAGAGATTCGTCCATGGGTGACGTCACAATAATACCCAATTGTGAGTTTTATTGCTGGCTGGAAAGGCATGTATTCGTTCATTCGTAAAACAGTTTATTGTTATCATGTCGATTCTACTCGCACCGAACCTTTAACCTGAAAATCTAACCATCAAACCAACCCTCAAATGTAATTGTATATACTCCCTGCAGATTAATTAGGAAACAATGGGAGAGTGGCACTTGCAATTTGCACATACAAAAACAAAGTCAGGAGAGATAACAGTGACATTCAATGTATGAAACTGTCGCTTGTCACACAAAAAATATATAAAAGAAGATGCAATAAACATATATTATTTTTAAAAAAATGTTAGGGGGTGGTGTGCAAAAATAACTTTTTTCTCGACTTTGCAATGTGGTACCCTCAAAGTACACTTAACCTTGATGTAGGTTGTTGCCAGTGCCAACATGTGCTTGCCATGTGTTTACTTGAATTACATTTTAGAATATAGGTTGTCTTTGTCCATATTGTGAGTAGTTCAGTCATGAATAGGCGACATTGTCTACAAATCTGTCATCGAGAGAGAAGACCAAACTTGTATGCCACACTACTAATAGATGGATCATTGGTAAAACTGAATCACGGTGTATGTTCTTTTTCGAATTTGTTTACCTTTCATCAATCGGCATTCTGACCCAATAAAATGAAACACACTGAAAACATTAATTTTGAACATATTACGGTAATTTGTTTACTTTCAGATTAATAAAGGAGTTTTCGCCATTGATAGCACACTCAACCAAAAATCTGTGCAGAAAACATTGGCATTGTGCAGGTTAGGGACATAACATTCTCAACATGGCGTTTAAAGGAGTGAAATCAAATATGGTTTATTGAATTAAAATACGTCAATATTTAGTGTTGACACACTCATCGGTTTAGTCAGTTGCTCAGATTAGCAATAACGTAGTGTGTATATATCGGGTTGCTTCATAAATTAAGATTGATTGGCCTGGGTACATCATTCACTGATTACAACCAACATCGTCCAAACTAATTTAGGAAAATTCATTGATATTCAGAAATAATTGTTTATTATATTATTGATTTTGACAATATCCTTTAAATTCTCATTAATACATGGAAGAACTTCGTCTTCCTAATAATGCTTGTAAAGTTGTTGCAAACATAGTGGAGGGGGGGGGGCAGGCCAGTTACGTATCTGTAAGTTAACACAGCCATGCGGAAATCCATACTGTTCGTATGCATCACTTGATTCAGTTACTGGGATACAGAGTGTACAAAGTTCAAAATAAATTAGGTCACGTGACGACAGGATATTATGAAAACAATGTGTCACATATCCCACTGTCTGACATTCCAAAAATGAGCACGACTTACGCCGACAAACGTATCCACACAACATTTATAATATTTGGTGTCGGGGAACGTTCATCTCGACAAGTGCAATGTCATCAGAGTGCCTGGCAACATTGGTAAGACCAGTAGTTCTAAACTATGTACAGAATTCCAACAATATCAAATGACGGTTCACTAGTATGTCTATCAGTTCATGCAGCTCATCTCGGAATAAATGAAGATTGGGTGTT